AATATTTGAACAAGCGCGATGTGCTCAAAGGCTTCACACTTGGAAATCATTTTCTATTCCCAACTCGTAAACTTGAGACATACTACCATTACACGCGTCTTAAGAACGACAGTTCTGTCTTTACACGTTTTCTTCTTGGGCTCTCTGTTAAAAAAATCTACTTTCGGATGAAAAGAACTGTCTTTAGCATCAAGAACTGAAATGAAATATCTCTTGCTTTTCTGCAATATTCCTTAAAAAACCAAATCTCATTTTCAACAAACATGCGATTTAGAACAGCGATTATTTAAAAAAACAACTAAAGAATGCTTTCGATAAATTTAAATGCGCTCAATCCGCGGATCAATACCAATATCCTGATTTTAAAAATCTGTAGATTTCTATATGAAGTTATTATTTTTTTCATTTATATACGATATAATTTAGTCGATTTTATACTAATAAACAGAAAACAATGTTTAGCAAGCTAGTCTCGCGTGAAGACACTTCCATACGTGAATAATTGTGCCATACTAAGAAAGGATACTGACTATATCATTTAAATTCTTTTCCGTAGATGCATTCTTCCACCTTCTTTTATTGTATAGTCCATCTAATTAGAAGAATTTCTACTACGAGTAAGAGAATCCTTGAGAAGTAATATCTTACAGCTATATTATGTAGAAACACTGCATGTAGTACGACCACCGAAGTTAAGCAACATCATGACTGGTCAGTACTTGTATGAATGACCGCTTAGGAATGACAGCTGCTGTAAGTTTCGGATGATGTAATGTATAATGGCTCGAAATTGGAAATAGGAGAGTCGAGTTCGAATCTCTGTTGGGGGTGTTCTCCTCACTTACGCGCAAATGCCCATGGGAAAGTTAGGAATCTACCTCTCTCTGCCACAATCTCATGAGTTCACTAGGAGGACTTCTAGCTTTAAATAACCTGCAAAGGGTTGATAAGCCGTAAAAAAACAAATAAATCACTTCAGAATGAATAATACGTTTTCTTTATGAGTGTGAAACGATTCTTAGAATTCCAGCATGGATCAAAAATTTTAATAAATGGTTCTTATTCCTTGTGAACCTGTCTATCCGTGTCAACTGATTATCGAAACGAATGTCAGACAGCTGGAATTATAAAAAAAATATCCATATATATATTTTTTACTTTGTCGATCGAAAACGCCGGATATTAATTATTTGCAAGTTACATTAATAGTAATAAGTATAACATTATTCATAATTTTTTATGAAGTATTTGCCATTTATTATGGATCTGCACGTAGAATAGCGATTATCCATTCCTAAAATAATGCCGAGTTCAAATTCCATCCGACGCAGTTTCGGTTCTTTTAACGAAAATAGGGGTGAATAATATCCCATGACGGGTAAGTCACCAAATAATGGAGGTTAAAAATATCGGGTCACGCTGGCTTGACCCAGGATATGTGTTTTGCTTTGGAAGAAAGGTTTATTCTCTCAGTGTGTAATTTCCCCATCATTGGCATTATTATATCCATGATATAATAACACTTAATTTCACGGACAGAACTGAATAGCTGGAAAGAAAGGAATGACAAACATGCCTTGTTCTCGGACAGACTTTTATGCTGTTGTCGCACACAACATTATATAGAGACATTTACACGCGTCTCGTGAAGAGAAAACATAACACATATCTACACAACAAGCGGTGTTAAAAGAGAACAAAAAGAGAGCAGCTTATGTGTAATAATTCTCAACGGAAAATTGAGCTGCTGAGATTCTTCTGTGTTTCTGGTGAATTCTGTGTTTTTGGTTTAGAATTTTAGAATTGGGCGCGCCACATTTATCTGCTATGACGCTTCGAGGACATAATCTAGAAACGGGAAACGGCGAGTCCTAGTTTTTTGGTTTTTTTTTTTAAATTGAGGACTACGAGCCGGAGATAGTTTCTGTATCTCGCAAAGACATATTCCCAAAGGGAAACGATGCCATAGGATTATAAGCTACACCGTGTTGTTGGAGATTCAAATTCTCCACAATTGCTCCACAAGCCTCATCTAATTTACTACTACTACTACTACTACTACTACTACTACTAGTTGTTTGGTTCCCATTCATACTAATATGTTTATTGTTTAAAGTAAACAATTATGGCACGAGGTCAAAAGGGAAGTAGGAGTGACTGATCTACACTATCCTAAACCTAGATAATCTAATTCACGACCCATTCAACTATACTAGGATTGATTGTATAATACTTTCCCCTCCCTAAATTATAAGCAGAAGAAGACACGCGCTTGCTGAACATTCTTCCTAGCCAATAAAACATGCCAGTCCCGGTCTGTCCTATCTTGAAGTCAGAACGCAATGTTCGCTTATCACAACTCGACCCCAAATTTTTTTTGCGAAATTTTGCCATAAATTGCTTTGCTTTATTACTGTTAATTTGCCTTGCATATCTTATTTGCTTGTTTTATATTATTTTTGCCCTGTTCTTTTCTTTTTTCTTGCTATTGCTTATTACGAACTTTGTCAATTTTGCTTACATTTCACTCACTCTACATTATTATTATTATTATTATTATTATTATTATTATTATTTTATATTTCCTGCTTTGTATCCTGTAGAGCCAGGTCCAAACTATGGTCCTTAGGCCCTATAGGAGAATTGTCATTTAATTTTATCAATTTTCTTAATATATGGGATGTTCCTAGTAGGGTGTCCTTCTGGTAAACTTGTATGTTGATTTTACCTGGGACACTGTTAGTAAAATTGTCCATTTCTTTTCTCACAAGGCCCAGATGTCCGAGTACTATTTGTACAGTGTCAGTCTCCTTTACTCACATCCTGTTAATCTCGATCTCCAGGTCCTTGTATTTGGACAATTTCTCGATAATTTTTTATGGAGATGATTCTCTAAGATGGTACTGCTATGTCAATAAGCATACACTTCCTGAATTTCTTGTCTTTTATGATAATATCAGGTCTGTTGGCTTTTATGTCCCTGTCAGTTTGAATTGACATGTCCCAGAGGATAGTTACATCGTTATTTTGAGTTACTGTTTTGGTGGTCATACCAACTCTCAGTGGTTTCGATTTTGTTCTTACATATCTTTCAGTGCAAATATGTTATTATTATTTTATTTTTTTTGATTTCTGGCGTGTACACATTTTTTCCGGGTCCCGCCCAGGGACCTAAGGTTAGAAATGGCGTCATGACACTTTCCACTGACAAAAAAAAAAAAAATTAAATTACATAGATAAAGCCCTTCGTAAGGTGTGGGCTGTACTTGTCAGAACAATTTTTTGTATCTCCTTGAGGCATGGACTTCCAGGAATTCCTTTAATTAGTCTACTGCAATCTTTTCCAACCAGTCCTAGGGCTCCGACGACAACAGGGATTGTTGATGTTCTCATATGCCACATTTTCGAGATTTCTATTTCAAGGTCATAATACTTTGACAACTTTTTGAATATTTTCAAAGATACATTGCAGTCAGCAGGGACTGCCATATCAATAAGGAGGCATCGTTTTTGTTTGTGGTCTTTAATAACAATATCTGGCCGGTTGGCCTTGATTGTTCTGTCAGTGTGTATTGTGTAGTCCCATAGAATTGTAACAGGTCCTATCTCCGTAACCGGGTCTATTACGATATATACAAGATTTACTTAGTATGATATGTTCAAATGCTTTTGAGAATCTGTGCGGTATGAAACTTGAGACTATTACGTCTGTTGTTATTAGATGGAATATGCCGTGTATAAAACCTGATATAGAATAACATAGCTGTATGATTTTACTGTTCATTGTCTTCAGTGGTATAAACGAGAGATGCGTTTCATGACAAATGTGTTTCCATTGATACAGAAGAGATTTCAAATCTCTTTATAAAATATGTAAAAACGACCTGAGAATTGCGAAAGAAAGCAGCAAAATGAGACGAAAGGAAAACTGATGGAAATTAATATTTATAAGCAGTCATTCTATTGATTATTTTTTTTTTTATCTCATCTTCAGCAATGAATTGTCTCCCTTGATTCTCGTGTCATGGAAATGACCGTAACAGTAACTGATGAGACACAAATTCTTCGTTTGTTTTTTTTTCTCCTGGGAAGTCAAGGCTTTTCTTATTCATCTCTTAATTTCGTTCTTTCTATCTTTTTCATTATCTTCCATCTCTTTCTTTTTCTTTCTTTCTTTTTTCTTTCTTTTTTTTCTTTCTTTCGTTTTATTTACTTAGTTTACTACTTCTAATTTTATAATCTTTCCTCTTTTTCGTTTATGTTTTTTCCTTTTCTCTTTCTTGTTTGCCTTAGGTTTTCATTTCTAACTTTTTTCAGTCTTTCTTTTCTTTCTCATTGTATTTATTTGCTTAACTTTAGCCGATTTTTCTAAACTCTGTCTTGGTTTTTATTTAATTTATCTTTTTCTCTATGAGATTTTTACGTTTCATTTTGTTTCTTATCTTCCAACTGTCTAATCTTTCCTATTTTTCATTTCATTTTTGTTGCTTACTTATCATTCGCTTATTCTTATAGCAGATACGGTGGAGTAAGGGATAGCATCTCGGATTAAGAAATTAGCGATTCGAATTCCACCCTGATCTACTACGCAGTATGTCCAAACATTCGTTTTTTTAATTTCCTTTTCCTATCTTTCTTGTTGTTCTCATCCTTTACTTTTTCTTTCTTTCTTTCTTTCTTTCTTTCTTTCTTTTTTTTTTTTCTTTTTTTTTTCTTTCTTTTTCGTTTTCTTAATTTCCTTTCTCTTTCTATCTATCTTTCTTCGATATGTCCAATCTTTCTTTTTGTTCTCATCATTTCCTTTTTTCTTTCCTTTTTTCTTTCTTTTCGTTTTCTTAATTTTCGTTTCTTTTTTCTTTTTTTTCGATATGTCCAATCTTTCTTTTTTTTGTTTCATCATTTCCTTTTCTTTCTTTTTTTATTTCTTTCTTTCTTTCTTTTCTTTTTCTTTCTTTTCGTTTTCTTAATTTCCTTTCTCTTTCTATCTATCTTTCTTCGAT